ACTATTATTTATAATTAATGACCCACCGGTGGGTCATGCCGTCTTCAATGTGTTAAAATATGTATAAGAAATGTATTGGCGTTTAAAGTTTGTAATTGACTTAAGATATTTGAGGTTATTATCAGTCAACATCAGTGGCGTACATAGCAACAAAACTATTATTTATAATTAATGACCCACCGGTGGGTCATGCCGTCGTCAATGTGTTAAGTAATGTTTCATCAATTTTGCAGTAATTTAAGTAAAAAGTTGAAAAAATAACAATAAAAAAAGCAGTGTTTTCACATTTTAGTGATTTTCTTGGAAACTATAATAGATTGAATTGATTGAAAAAAAAAAGATGTATATGAATGTTAGGGATTTGCAGTTTCATAGATCACTTACTGATTGTTGTGGTACCAGTGCAAGTGGTAAGGAACGGTGGGATCCGAAGAGACCTTGCATTGAAGCGTAGCCGTGTGTCCTAGTAGAACCCTTGTCGGAGCCGGTGGATGGATGATCTGCGTTCGAACTGTTCAGAAAAACAAGCAAACAAATTATAACGAGCAATCAAACGTGAAGTAAGCATGAAATGGTAACGCCATCTATGATTCGTCTGGAAAGCAGATGGACAAAACGAAATTAAAAACAAAAACTTACCCAAAACGGTGATGTGTGCGGATCCGGTGACCTTTCCCGCCTCGTTGGCCCTAATGCAAGTGTACAAGCCGGCGTCGGCTTCGCGCACCGCAGCAATAAGCAAATCTCCGTTCTCCAGCTTCTGGAAACGGCCGGACATCTCGACCTCCTCTTGCTCTGCTCTCATCGATATTAGTGGCATATAGCAAAATGAACAAACAAAACACACGCAAGGATCGAAGGAGAGAGAGAAAGAGCAGAAAAAAAAAATACACACACGAATTAGTCATTAGTTTAAGTATGCAAATCATGAAGAACGCACCATTGAAGATCCAGGTGATGTTGGGTTCCGGAGCCCCAGCCGCTTGGCAGTTGACGGTTACGTCTTTACCGTCGAGGACGGTCGAGTTCTGCGGTCCGACTTCCATCACCGGCACAGCAGCTGCAGAAGAAAACAAAATTAGTTAGAAACATGTTACCAACTGATGTTTTCAAAAAACTTGAAAACCGCGGCATTCACTAAAAAACGAAAAGCATGCGTGAAACCTGAAATTTAATTAAACACAACAAAAATAAAAAAAAAAACACTAAAACCCAATTACGTAAAAGTCTGTTATCAACTGACGTTTAAAAATCGACACATAACCAATCAATTAGCCGGGGGGGAGATCTATAGGCAATTGGAACACACGCGTATATTACCTAAGCAACAAACTCTTATGCAACCAGTCGCAAAATCTAAGAAAACTAAACCAAAAGAAAATAATCATAATAATACTATACTTGACAAGTAACGCGTCAAGTATCTGTGGTTCTCGGTGATTTTTGTTTCGAAGGTGGATGTTTTTACGTGCATGCAAATCGACGTGATCTACGAAAATCGTTCGGTGTCAAAAATAAAAACAATTGAAAATTCTATTGTTTACGTATGCTTGATACTTAAAATACAAATAAAAATTGATCCTTACAGGGCGGTACGATATGAAAGTGTTTGCGGTTGCGTCTGTCGCCAGAGTTACGCAATCTCACAATATTGTGACTCCTCCTAATCCGCTTCGAACGAGCTACATCTTATAAGTAGAGAGATAGAAAGAGGAAAAGAAAAGAAAGACAATTGTTTAAATTAAGTTAGTGATTGATGTGGGATGGCCGTTGCAGAAGGCAATGTTCTCATGACATAGTTGTTAGACGTGAAAGAAATGATTGAAATGTATGTTTAGTCAAATTTAATTTTAAAAATAATTAGTAATTAGATATTAATGTGTTGAGAATAAAGATAGAAATTTAGTTGATTTAATATGAAAATTAAGTTATGTAGTGTAAGATTGATGGGAATTAGTAAGTAGTAAATACTTACTTTTGACTTTAAGCCAAGTTGACATGTAACTTTCTCCAGCTTGATTCCTCGCGAAGCACTGATACATCCCCATGTCTTGGATGCTGAGCTTCCTGATGAACAGCGAGTTGTCTTCTTCGATTTGATATCTGAAAATTTTCCAAATTTTTCATAACGAAATTAACAATAATGATAAAAATCTTACCTTGTGTCATTTAGTGTCTCAATGTTGACGGTATTCCTATACCAAGTGATGTTCGGTTTCGGTATTCCAACGACATCGCAGGGAAGACTGATCTGCGTCCCGTACTCACCCAACGACTCTGTGCGAGTGTTGCTCACGAACCTAGGTCTCTCCAAAACTCTGACATTCGCCGCAGCTTTGACAGGTGGAAATCCGCCCGTCTTCAGCGAAACCTGACACTCGTAGACGCCGGTATGCGTGAGATTCGCGGAGATCAAAGTCAAGCTTCGATTCCAGACGTCGTTGAAGGTGTATTGGATGCCGGAACTCTCCATGATGATGCCGTCTTTGTACCATAGCGTTTGCAGTTCGTGTAGGGGGCGCGCGTTTGCGATGCAATCTAACGTCGTCTGATCGGCACCCTTGATGATCTCAACGTCTTGCGGGTTGATGATGATTTCAGGTGCGATCTCGCTACCTCCGTTATCATCCTCGATGACGTTCAGACGGATGTAAGCGCTGTTCTCTTCTTTACCCTCTTGGGTGTTCATCGCTCGAGCTCTATAAGCCTGTTCATCGTTGGATTCCGTTGACAGGATTATGAGCTGATTCGTTTTGGATTTGGTGTACTTTTGCGAGTACATCAGCAGACCTTCGTCCGTTTGCCAGATGATTTCCGGTTCCGGGGATGATTCTATGTACGGAAGATCGAGGATCGCAGCTTGCCCTGCTTTCACTGACACTGACGTTTCCGTTTGATTTTCAAACACGCCCATATCTGAACAAACACACATACAAAAAATGACATTACAGTCAAAGCGTAAACTTATTGCCAACATTCAGAAAAAAAAAAACTAAAGTTTGTTTGTTAAACTTACAAGCAACGACGACTTTGGTTTCCTCGCTCATGATCGATCCCACCTTGTTGCTGGCGATGCACCTGTAGCTGCCTTCATCCTCGAGCCGCGTGTGGAAGATCTTGTAAAACGATTCCGTCGACAAATCCGTAATTAGAACACCGTCCTTCATCCACCTGTACTGGGGCTGGGGGTATCCTGAAGAAGCAAAATGATGTAACTCGGACCAGAAACAGGTAAAAGAAGTAATGTAGTAATAAAGTTTTTTCTTTCTTTTTATTCCGCTGTAAAAGTAATAATATGTCCTGAACGCGATGGATCTTGCACGGATCAACGGCTGCTCTGACTTTTACGCGATGTTTTCGCAATTTCCAATAAAAACAAAAACGTAATTAAACCTATGGCAACGTCATCTATTATAACCAAACATTTGACAGTTTCATTGACGTTTCTTTATACCAACTGCTTAAACGGATTTGCTTTTAATTAAAAATGGCAACGTTGATTCATGAAAACTTCAATTTAGTTATCTCATTTCCGATAGATGGCGTATTGGATTTAACTCGTATTTAAGGATAATTTAGGTGTTTAATCGTGATTAGGGCGGTTGATCGTAAACACGTATATTTATTCTTGTGAATATACTCCATTATGCAACGTTAACGGTGGAAGTACAGCGACGGTTATAAATGCGAAGTGCGAAGGGCGCGTTAAGTATTTAGCGGGCCATCAAAATTCTGAACGAGACGGACTCCCTTCGCCGATTATTAATATAAGTTTAATAATTCGCCGATAGTAACGGAGAGGGCGCGACGGTACTTCCACCGGCTGTATTGGATTCAATTTTTGATGAGCCTGTAAGGTGCAATAGGTTAATGGGGTACGTGTTATCTCTTACTCTGGCTCCTCTCTCTCTCTCTATTCCACCTACAACTAGATTAACACAAAGCGATGTTCAATGTCAGAGTGTGGGTGGAGGAAGAGGAGGAGGAGGAGGCATTAATACAAATTGATTTTATTAAAATTAGGTGCTCCCACGACCCCTGCAGCTACGGATTAACCATCACTAACTTAACTCCGGATTAGCTTAGCTCAATCAAGTTAACACCATCATCATCATCTTCACACCCTTGCAAATATCGTATGTGCAGAGATTGAGGGGGCGTTTTAATTAGACGTACATAATTACTTCGTGCAAGTTATTGACAATTCACGCACTCTATAAATCTGACAGCATTTTGACATATCTTTACATCAAAAGATGCGCAATTAAAGACACTTTTAGCTGTCAATTTTGAATCAATTAGGTTATGTTACAAGCAAAATAAATTTGAAACATAAATCAAGCGCGCAAAACATCGCAATCTAAATGTCTCCGTGAAAATGCAGTTAAGAGATCCGCAGAGCCAAACATGGACATTAGCGTTACGTAAAAGGAAGACGACTGGGCTTTAGCGCGTTCCATGAATAATTTATTTAATTTGCGCCTTTTAGCCGCACATTTATCGCGCTACAAGGCTTGTTTTTTTTTTGTTTTTTGAGGTTCCAATAAAGAGGAGGGATGGCGCCACAAGCAACGAAGATTTTCGTCTGCGATAAAAATTGATGGAATCATTAACCCAAATCCGGAAGTTCCTCGAAAACCATCACAAAACGCTATCTGCGATCGGTCGTTTTGCGTTCGAAACGAAAAAAAAAGAGAAAAACGAAAATACTTGCGCTCTACGACCACTTACAAATAGATTTGTTATGAAGCAATAAATAGTAAGCGCATTACTTTTTTAAATTTGACATATGTGTCATCTGTCAGTTGGGGTTTCTTTGATCGTCGATAGATGGCGTATTGAAGTTACCATAACGGAACAGTTCATTGCGCAACTATTTAGTATGTGCATTCGAATGGGATTAACGTGAATCGTTTTGTACGTTATTGAATTTTGATTTGCGCGTGTGTTTGTGTGTTTGCTCGATGATACGGCATACATCGTTCTTTGTATTGAGTGAGTGGGGGGGTTGGGGGTATGGGTTTTAGGGAAGGGATTAGAGTGCACCGGATGATGATGTGTTTCTCCGTTTCCGGTGGATGGGTTAGAGAGAGGGGGCGCTCGGGTGCTTCGCCTGCGGCATCGTCGATCGCTCAAATATGCGATTATAATTAAAGCCGTAAAGGCACAATAACCTGGGCCCTATCGCAGCTCAGCCAGGAGCGAGCTCTTAATTACATCCCGCATCTCTCATCAACCATCAACAAAAACAAAGACAATTTTTTTACATAATAAATGAGAATTACCAATAGTTTATTAACTACGTTCTAACTTTCAGTATTCATTAGCTTATTTTTTTGCGGGTGGTCTCTTTCCCCATGCGAAAGGGGTGGAGAGGGATTGAATTACGGAGGGCTATAATTGTTACAAAAGGAAACAATGACATTGTATATAACCGGAAGCGCGTCGCAAAAGCGGAAATTGCAAATTACCAAAAGGACCCATTAATTCCTGCATAACAAAAAAAAAACTTTGAAATTGATAACGCTGTGGATTCCACCGAAATCCCTTCACTAATAACCGGTTTAACGAGAATTTGCCGATCGTGCAGCATCAATTACAATCATTTAACATTCGTATTAAGAATTCAATTATAAAAGTAGCAAAATTAATGCTGTAACAACGAAAAACAATTCAACTTCGTTAAATTCACCGATAGATGGCGTATTAACAATAGCGCCAATTTTCAACCAAATATACGCAAAATCACGTGGATTTATTGAAAATGCAAATTAATTCCAATCAATAAACAATGAAAATGGTTTCTACAAATTATTTCCTTAAGATTATTTTCTTTTGCCAATGTAAATAACACCAGAAATGTTTATTTCGTTAATTTAACTGCGCTTGTCGGTAATTAAATAAGTATTTATTTTAAATGAACTTTGCAAAGAAATTTAATTAGATTTTCCGGGTGGACAAATAAACTGTCGTCCAGATGTACACAACAAGAACAAAAAAAAAACGAAGGAGGGAGTAAAACCTTCTTCACCCCACCGTAAATACTCTTTTCCGCGAAGCAACACACGTTTCTTCCATCCAGTTGCACTATTTTCGGATCATCGTGAAATGTTGTAATCCATTGCAAACACATGCGAATTTGTTCATTTGCACTCTGTTTTTAATTAAATATTTTATATGAATATATGCACGCATTATGTGTCATTTTCATGTTCAAAGAGTAAAGTCGAAAGGGTCAGTAGCGATAGAAACGAGTCCTTAGCAACAGTAAAGTGTCCTTAGCAACGTGGAGGCGTCCATAGCAACAGTAACGTAATTAAGTAAATAGGACTTTTAAATTGTAACTATAACTGAAGAAAATGTAAGCTTAACCAGAGATTATTGCTGTTTATTGCAGTGAGTGCCTTTCATTTCCTGCTGCAACTTCTTGCATCACCACGTAAAAAGATGCACGCAATGCTCTGTTATTTTCGTTCTGTGGTCCAGCGTTGGAAGCATTCCGAAAAAATGATTCATCGACCTGTAGTAGTGCAGCAGCAGTAGAATACGGCCTTAATTAACTTTCTCCGCAAAGTTGCGAGTCTCGACTACTCGTACGTATTTTTAGAAGGGATCCGAGCCCGTTCGCTTCGTGACTGATGGAATGTTAAATGCTGTAACGAGGTTTCTTCATCTCAACACCATCATCATCATCATCATAATCATCTCGTCCATGACCGAATCGTCATGGAAACGAAAAGAAAAGCCACCTGTTTGGGCACTGCTTAATGTCACACACGCACCTTTTCTAATTGCAGTATACATTTTTATTGCCTATTATTTTTTTTGTTTT